CGTGGAATGAGACCCTTCTTTTACAGTGTCCATTTGTTTTCTTCAGTTCTACTGTGACTTTAACAATGTTTCAACTTGCTGTTAAAGCTTTTGTGAAGCTGTTAATAAGTGAGGTATATTTGTAGCTTATTCTCTGAGTTTACTTTGCAATAAGATTAATTACATTATTCTTAAGGCATACACCTTTACATGCTTTGTGTTTTGTTGTAGCATACAAATATCCAATTTATGGTATGCAATGGCATCCAGAGAAAAACCCTTTTGAATGGAAGAATTCTCCAGGCATTCCACATTCGCCATCTGCTGTAAGAGCAGCGTATTATATGGCTGATTTCTTCGTTAATGAAGGTAAAAAGTATATTATCTATAAATGGTGTTGGTTAGAGTGAAGCAGTACTGAAAAACTTTGAAGATGACAGACTTCTTTTTCAGCTGTCGAAGTTCAGTACCTCATAGTACCTGCAAGCTTTATAGGCTTATAAAACACCAAATGATGCCAGAAATAGAATGACTTAGTGAAAGTAACATGAAAAGGCCAAGCAATCTTCAAACTCTTTTTACTAGGCTGTCTCAAAAACATTGTTCTGTGACTTTCTACCATTTCAAAATATCCCTGTAACATTTTGGCCTCTCTTGCACAAAGACAATAAAACAAAAAAAGTAATCCATTCATAACTCCAGGGGCTTCTTCAGTTCCAAACTGGCTTACAGTCATTCAACGTGTTCTCAGTTTTGCTTGCAAAATGCATACACCAGGACTATAAATAGGCTTCGGCAGTATGCATGTGTCAGAGGGGTACAGTATGTGTCCTATAGTTGTATACCATAGACAGCACAAGGAGTTTTTGAATTTTACAGAGATGCTAATTTTTTTGTTTATACTCTAAGAATCTGGAAGTAACTAATGCATAACATTTTGATAGTTTATGACACTTCCCCTCTTTTTGTTATAAATAAGCAGGATATAAATAGAGGAGTATTTGAAGGAATCAAACTTTATTCCTTAATTTATCCCTACTAAATCATGTTGCTGGACCATTTTATGAAATTGCCTTACCTCCTTGATGGGGACTATGAAGAACATAATAATTAAGCTGGTTGAGTTTGGTCTCTATATTTGGTCTCAAATCAAATTAGTCAACTTAATGAAGAAACTAGATAGTGATGTAAAGAAATGTAATTTATGCTGACCTGGTCAGTGAGAGTGTAGGAATAAAATTTGCATTTCATACAAATTCAAGATGCTTTTTTGCATAAAGTAGTCCTACTCCTCTTTGTGAAAATGTAGCAAAACCATTTTCATAGGGAACTTGGGGCCAGGGAGAACTGGGCCTCTGAGCAGCCTAGCATAGTGGAACATGTCCCTGCCTATGGCAGGGGGATTGGAACAAGGTGATCTCTAAGGTCCCTTCCAACCCAGACCATTTTATGAGTTGGCAGACTGTGATAAAAACACGGGGGGAAACAGGATAAAGTACAGTATAAGTCTGGTTTTAATTTTGTAGTCTAATACTAGAATGCAATGTGTTCTCTGGCTTTGTTTGGTATTTTGTGTAGCATCTTTTTGCAGACTGTATTCCCAATAGAAGTAAGCTTGCTCAGGCCATTATCCAAGTTAAGTGGGGCAAAGCAAGTGCCAGCTCTGCTTCTAGATCCAGTTGAGGCACTCACTGTGTGTGAGTTCTGTTACACTGTGTACACATCCAAGGAGTTTGTGCAGTGTGCCCCACAGATGTGTCACTAGCTTTTGGATCTACTGACCTACAATTCTGGTAGAGCAAACTTTCTTCAGCCAGATTTGTCTAGCCCATCTCTTCTACCAAATCCTAAGTTATTCTTCATGGCCTCCCCAGTGTTTTGGAGATGTACTGAAGCATTAGCTGCTCCTGCTGAGTACTTCATGTCATAACTTTGCAATGAGTAATTGACATTTTTAGCTCATGTAAGGCAGAATATCTTCCCTAAGTTTGAAAATAAACCACAAGATGAAAAATGTAAACTGTTTTCAGCTGGTAAAAATGTGTGATCACTTAGTAACTAAACCATTCTACTGAAATACCGTCTTTGTATCCATCCATCATTAATTTTGACTTCTGTAGAGTTGCCAACTTGATAAACCAGGGGAGAATTCAATTTTATTTTCCTCATCAGCACAGTCCATGCAGATTTCAGTAGGCTGCTACTCTGATGTGTTTCTTTTAGCCTTAAAAGTACTGGTATTTCTGGTAGCTATGGCTAGTATCTCATGCATAGCTATTTTATACAGTCTTGGTTTTAAATTCTTCCTCTCCAGTTATAAAATATACTGTAACCATCTTTCTGAAGATGTATCTTCACAGTTCTTCACATAAAAGCTACCGTAATTCCATTTGTTGGTGGGCTACACAAAATAACTTACTTTACCAAGATAAATATTGTTGAGAAGGATAACATTAAAATGATCTGTACTTTTACAATGTTTTACAGCCAGGAAGAGCATGCACCATTTCTCCAGTGAAGAAGAGGAAACAAAAGAATTGATCTATAATTATAATCCTGTTTATACAGGAACATTTTCTGCATTTCAGCAAACCTATTTTTTTGATTGAGGATCTTGTCAAAGGTGCAGTGTTGTTATCTATAAATTGAATTATTTGCCAGCATTGTGTAATTAATCTGATATAGTGACAGAAAGTTAGAATAGTTTTCCTTTACAATGATTTATTTTGTGCATCTTCTACACTATTGAAACATTAATATATAAATTTACATTCAATAACATAATTGTGTTGGATCACACTTTAAGGCAAGCTACAGAAAAATGTTTTTCTTCCAGGAAAGGGGACCTGACTATGCTTATAAATTTTGAAGTAATCACCTTTGGTACAAGGAAAAGCTTTCATATATTTTAAAATACGGGACTTACCTTTGTAAAATGTTGTGGACTGTGATAGCACTAGATTCTTAGATACATTGTGTAGTAAAATCCTGTCCTTTTCAAATGATTTAGCAAATGAGACTCTTGAATTCATCATAGATATGTGTATGCAGCCAAGTTCTTGACAGGGACTCCTTTGTCATTTCAAAAACTGACCAAAATAGTAAGGCATGATAGCAAACAGATTTTTACCTAAGAAGCACATTATGTCCCATATGTGAAACTGTTTCTCTTGTACGTTGAGCATTATTTGGAGTCCTTATGCCTTGTGAGGCCTTCATACACAAATATCACATAAAATAAGTAAGTTTGGAGGACATAGTTCTGTGCTGATTCCACTTTCAGTTCTTTTCAATTCAGTTTTATACATCCTCCAAGAGTTTGTCTTGGAGTAACTGGAGTCAGCAGCCAGATATCAGATGCAGACACTCATTCCTTTGTATTTAAAAGAATGTAAACTTAATTTTTTCTCTAAAGTGTCTGACTTTTCCCATAGCTGGATAGAATTTTCACTTGAAGTCAAGAGGTAATTTGCCACTATACTAGTAAAAAAGGTAGTTTCTTTCTGTCTTGTTTAATAGTTCTGTGCAGCTAGAATTTAAACAGCAGATGAATGTATATGAGAAACCTGTTAAAGGTGACACAATGTGATAATAGCAGTTGCTTGCAATACACCAACACTGTTTTATCTCTGCTTTGCTCCAGACATGGTGAAAGTTTTATTCAGTGGTTTTGTGTGTTGTCCAAAAAGGAACTAAGATTAGACAATCAAATGTAATTCTCCTCTCCAGCATAGCTTCCAAACTCTTGTTAACATTAACAAGGATTTGGAGTTTATGAAGAATTCAGGTTTATAAACTTCAGCTCTGTTTTGTAGAACTTCATACTCTCAGGTACCATATCTGAATAAGTCTTGTAAGTTTCTCAGGTTTTTCAAGTAAAACACTCTCTAACTTGTCATGAAACAACTGCATATGAGAATGTGAAATGCGTCAGTTAAAAAAAACCTACGGGGAAGCATTAACTGTGACTAGCAGAAAAACACTTCTAGGTAATTACAAGCTTAAACATAAGATATTTTCACATTTATCATATCAGCCAACTTACTAAATGGTTATCTTTTCTTGCAAGGAAAATGTCTGCAATGGTACTAATTAGTTACTAAATGTGTAACTATAAAGAGTATTATGTGTAATATGATGAGAGAAGTTTATATATTATGATTTTATATGTGTCTTTTCTTTATACCCTTCCTCTTGTAAAGTCTTATTTGATGATATGCGTGATTTTTCCATGGTACATGGAATAAACTTTCTTTCAAGCAGACTTATATTTTTGTCATCTTTTAGGTACCACCGATGAAGCACTGACAAGAGTCATTGTTTTCTTATTTCCATCTGTGATAGTCATGAATCAGGAGGTTACAACCTGTATCCTCTTTCTGTGGTCATGCCAGCAAGTCAGAGTCAGGATGAGTGACATCCATGGCCTGGCACAGGCGAGCCCAGAGCACAAGTATGTTGCCCAGGGCTTGAGCTTAAATGCACTTTAATGTGGCTGCTGAGACAGAGGCAGGGCCTTTCAAGAAGGCTGCCCACAGATCATTCTCACAGAGTCTTTCCACAGTCCAATCTCACAGAGCAGGCTCACCCCAGGGGCAGTGTCAGAGCTTGCTCAACACAGGCAGCCAAACCCCCACAAAAGTGGGAAGGGGCTGAAGCACTAATGGCACTCTCAGGGCTCTGAAAGCTGTAAGCAAAAAAATTTCTGTCTATTCCTTATAATACCCAATACCTTCCATTATCTTCTCCAGCCAGAAACAAACTGCAGAAACCCAAAATTGTCTAGCAGTCACCTAACAGCGAGTTTAAAACTTTGTTTTATGGAAACCCACCCCTCTGCTCTCTGTTGTACAGTGTAGTTTTTCATTTCACAGACAGAATTCCTAACACAGTTTTTAGGAATGCTGGGGAGAGAAGAAGAGCCTGTGGCCATACTCACAGTTTATTGAGTCTGGCGTGGGAGCCTAACCAACTTGCTTGTTGCTGTGTGGGAAGAAAATCCACTGATCAGCAAGGTAACCCTAATATGTGTCTTGCAGACCATATTAAATAATCTCTAAGAAAGAAAAGTTTGAAATAATTTCCTGTTGGAGTATTCTGCTTTTCCCACTAGATGGCCTCCAAGAACCAGTATTTTCCAGTATTTTGTAATTGGGTGTGGTTGTGTCTCTAAAGTTGAGTAAGATATTTACTGTACTATGATATGTAGTGGGGTGTTTGAGATGTGGGGGTAGAAGGGAGGAGGCAATAGGACTGGAATCTTACTAGCCAAACCAGGCATATTGGCAGGATTGCAGGAGAGTCTGTGAACATTGAATTAATTCAGCTGGGATTAACTCTTGTTTCCAGTGAATATTTAAACCATTCGAGCATTAGCTGGAGGTGACTGGAATTACATCTGTCTTTCCAGGTGGTTGTTCCTTCCCTTTAGCTATAGAATCTGTTTGGGTTCTATTTTCTATAAATATGAAACTAGCTCATGCAGAACAGGACAGAGAGTTTAAATGGGAAGAAATAAGAACTTGATCTCAGAAAACCTTTGGCTGGGAGGCAGGAAAGACCAGTTTGAATTCCTTCAGGTAAGGAAGAAATTAAATGGAAGAAACATGCTGAGTAAGTACTCTAAGTATGGAGTTAAAGAGTAAAAGGAAGCGCTTGACCCACAAGCTTCACTGGGGGGAAAAACAAATCACAAACAACTCGCCCAAACCCCCACCACTTTTGGGTTGACAAGCTATGCAAAATTCCCTGCCAAGGTAGTGAGTCCCAAGCAGAGATTACTGTCCAACCACTTCTATGTTGAATACTGTATTTTTAGGTTAACTTTTAACCTTTTCCCCATGAGTGCCACCATATTAATTGCTGTGGATGCTGCTCAGCAAAACAGTATTTAAAGCTGGACTGTACTGGGGAGATTTCTGTAGAAATCAATGACCTGTTAGGAATGTGATGGTTCTTTTCTTGGAACAGTGAGGAAAGTATGGGGACAGTTTGAACAACAAGGAAGAACAATAAGGAAAAATTTCCCATTTATGTGTTAATCCTGCATTGCCCTTATGAGCCAGGAGACCTGAAAGAGGAGAAGCATGTGTGTAATCAGGTGGCTGTAGTCTGCATGCCAGGGCTCAATCAAGAATGTTTGTGTTTGAGGTGGGAAGGTGTACACAAGGTTTCAGTCACTTTTATCACAGTAAATAATATTTTATCTGGGCTTGTATGGGTTCTTTTGGGGTTTTTTTCCTACTGTGGAGTTCCCATTCATGTATCTGGTGATGGTGTTACCAGAAAAGCTATGGGAATTGGCTAGAGTCCAAGGCTACTAAGGTTTCTAAGTGCCTTTTCAAATTATTATTGTTTGAGTACTTATGTGAAAGACAGGTTGTCAGATACTGTGAGGTGATTGATTACCTTTTCTTGTTAGCCTTGTGTCTTTCCCTAGGGCAGGCCTCTTCTCTAATCCACTGCTTATTTATAGGGCAAATAGTGAAGTTTATCCTGCCCTGGGCCACCTGTTGATAAAGATACTGTTCCAGCTTTCATCACTTCCTTATTGTATCTGTTTCATAAAGTAAACAGTATGATTTAAGAGCCAGCTTCCTCTTTTAGTTCTTATATAACCAAAAAATTTTCCAAGACAATTTCCTGCCAAAAAAAAAAAAATAGCTATCACTATTTGGAGGAGAACTTGAACAAAGCATTCACTCCAGACTTAAGCAAAACCCCTCTGATTATCTGATTTTCAGAGATGTAGTGAACAAACATCCCTTGCAACTTGGCTTTCTGTAAATGAAAAGCAAAAAAGCAGAAAACTCAAATGGTTAAAAAGGGCAAATCCTAGCAGTTGCTGCTTCTGAGCGTCAAAACAATTGGGTTGAATACCGTGGGCTAGGTTTTGAGGCAGAATTAATTCTCTTCACATTGTTTGGATGGGACCATGTTTTTCATTTGTGCTGAATACAGGGTTGATAATTCAAGGATGTTTTTGTTACAGCAGAGGAGTGCTCACGCAACCTCAAGGCCTTTTCAGCTTCTTACCCCACCTGGTGAGAGGTAAGCATGAGGGCTAGAGTGCACAAGCACTCAGGAGGGTGCAGAGCCAGGGCAAATGATCCCAAATGACCACAGACAGGGATATTCCATACCATATGACATCATGCTCAGCATATAGATGTGGGGGAAGAAGGAAGGAAGGAAGAAGGGAAGGAAGGAGATGACATTTGGAGTGATGGTGTTTGCCTTTCCAGGTGACTGTTAGACATGATGGAACCTGACTTTTCTGGAGATGGCTGGACCCCTGCCTGCTCCTGGGAAAGGGTGAATGAATTCCTTGTGTTGCTTCACTAATATGTGCAGATTTTGCTTTACCTTTTAAACTGTCTTTATCTCAACCTATGAATTTTCTCAGTTTTACTCCTCTTTTTTTTCCCCCTACCCCTCTGTGGGAGGAGTGAGTGGCTGTGTGGGGCTTTGGGGTTAAATCTCAGCAGCTTGTGACTGTGTAGCTCCCAAGCTGCCTTTGATGATCTCTTTCATTGTGTGTATGTAGGTTCAAGAGCTGAGGTTATATGTGTGTAGTTACTTGCAATTTTCCTGAAGAATAGATCAGCAAGATCAGAAAGATTAAAACAGCAATTTTCTAAGTAGAAGCATATTAGGAAATTAGTTTCTCCCTGTGACTTCTTGAGGCACCAATATAAACTATATATATATAAATATATAGGTAATTATTATAAATAAATAGGTAATTATTTATTATTATATTTATTTATTATTTAATAAATAAATTATTTAAATAAATTATTTAATATTTATTATTATAAATAAATAGGTAATTATTTTATTTATATATATAATAACCTTAATTCAACTGCAGAAGTGGAAGTTTGTACTTAATATCACTGTACTTGAACAGGATTTTTGCAGCAGGTCTTGTACCTCTTGCAACAACACCTGCTTTTTCAAAAGACAATGGAACATACTATTGTGATTAATTACTCCATTATTATTGTATTAATCACTAATTTAAATGTAGTATTAGATTTAATTAATAATAATGAAGTTGGCATTATAGAGGAGACACAAAGTAAAGTGAAGTGGCTACAGACAATTTGAGATTTTTCCAAAAGAGCCATGTCAGAATGGAAGTACTCCAAAGTTTTAAGCCAAACACATTCTCACCTTGGATGAAATTAATCCTTTCTGTCCTTGTAGACTTCTAAATTAATTGCTGGCATTTAAACTGTTGTACCACTAGTGGAGGATATTTGCAGGATCTAAAAGCAGATCTAAACATGTCTTGGGCTTCCTGAGGAAAAGATAGAAACATGAGGGACCTATTATCTCCTTTGCTTTAATTTGAGGTACTTTTTGTTTCTCATTAATATTTGCAACAAGCATCTCATTCTACCACTTCAACAAAAAGTACCAGTAATTATTTTGTTTCTGGACTTAAAAATGAAACAGTTTTCTAGGTTCGTTTTGCCACTAAGCTGAACACAACAAAATTTTTACTTTTGTTAGGAATAGAAGTTAGTTCACCGTTCATGCCTAGTCTCTTAAACTTTACTTAGGTTTCTGGTCAAACTCAGGATGAGTTTGTTCCCATCTCTGCAGTCTTCCCACTTAGGTTCTTGCAGACTGTGCTACCTTGTGGCTCCTTAGGGAGTTTAATTACTGTACCAGAACTTTGAAGCAGCAATTATTACTTCTTCCAGCAACAGCTACCATAGTCTTCCCAAATTACTTACTATTCTGCTTCAGATATTTGCAAATGAGGGAACAGGCTCAATGAACACACTAGATGTTGGAGCAAGCCCAGTAGCTCCCTGGCCAGTCTGTGTCAGCTGAAGCTGAAGCTCAAGCCATCGCAGCCCAAGATGATGCTTCATCATAAATGTCTTTCATTTCCTTTTATTCTGAACTGTCAAGACCCTTGCCCTCCCTTAGCTGCATTTGCAAGTTATCCCTAAGAAATCTGTTCAGAATCTGTGGGCTGTTTTCTCTTTGTTTTCCACACTCAGGGAGTCAGGCACATGAAATCAGTTCCTCTGAATTAACCTCCAACTCTTTTAACAAAATGAAACTTGAGAATATACTGTAGCTTTTTAGCTCTGCTTAAAAGTGAGTGGGGAAAAGTTATCGTACAGATGAAATATGTATCTTTATACATTAATTTTGTTTTAGGAGAAGCTGAATTGCATAACATCAGCATGGGGAATACCAGTCCAGACAATAACATCTTTTGAACAGCAGGGCTTGCTGGGCATCTTTTATTTTGCCAAATTTCTAACTTGCACGTTTTGACTGCAGAGTCCAGGGTACTGTATAATATACTATCCTTTTGGCAGCCATTCCTGCAAATGCTCAGCATGGATAGTGACGGTCACTGTAGGCCTTTGGTGCTAAACTCAGTCTCCCTCTGAGTCTTGGCTGTCTGTGGCAGTCAGGCCACAGAACTGTATGAGACAGGAATAAAGTCATGTGCCAGGTGAGGTTTGACAAGTGGTTTCACAAAACACATTTCTGTCATGTCTCACTCATGTTTGGACAAATTAGGAGAGTTTTGATTTCCCAAGAGAAGAGCAAGCCTGAGGCTCATATCCTTCGCTGCCGCACCAGTGAGTGCAGACACATGCACAAACCATGCCATGTATTTTTGCTGTTCAAAAGGACTTAAAGTGACATTCAGACAGGTTATTAGGTGTCAATGCTCTTTTAAAATTCATTCTTTATAAGAGAAAATGAATACCTATGTAACGCAATGAAATTACTTCTATGTAGAAATTATATCCAAGGAGGATGCTGGGTGACCATGATAGACCTGCTGGGCACTATCTGAAACTGAATGCTCATCCACTCTGTGTCATTGCTAACAAAGCCGGTGTATATTTTGAATTGCCAACCTATTTGGTTTCTGGATGACATGAAGCAGATGTTTGCTGGGATCTGTTATCCCCTGGTTGAGGAGTGGGAGCATAGTTTATAGAGTGCCATTAGGGCTAGCATTTACTGTGGGAAGAAAAAAAATCCTGAAGAAAAAAAAAAAAAAGAAAACCAAACCAAAACTGTCTTCAGAACAGAGCTTGGTTGTCCTGCTCAGATTTCAGTTACAAGACAGATTGACCCCATATGGTAAATGAAGGCCTAGACTGAAGGTTTTCTTATGAACTTTGCTGCAGACCCTAAATCACTACCACACATCATTTTTATTTCTTTAGCACAGTTTATTTCCTGCTAAGCTTCCCATGACTTTAGTGAAAGTTTTTTTACACTCAGGGCCATAATGTTGAAGAATATAATGGAGACAGATGGATGATTAATTGTATGTGAAGTAATTAAAATGAAACATGATCTCATACTTTCATGTGTAGCAGAATTTTTGGTATTTATCTTGTTCTTCGTGTCCTGCAGAACTTCCTGATAAATTATCATCTAGATACCAAGACTTCAAACCCGAAAAGAAAAATTAAAGAGCTTCATTTTGCAATTTGAAACTAGACTGTTGCTCTAAAAAAATAAAGGCAATTAAAAATTGGGATGTCTCAGCTGTGTGATTAAACATCTAACAAGATGCATGACTGACACTCCTCTCCAATCTTTATTTATTTGTTTATTATTAAAAAGCTCCTCAGATATGTATAAGCCATCTGCTGTTCTCAGATTCTCGGAGCCTTGGTATATTATGCATTTGCAAAGCATTTTCATTTGATGCCATTAACTATAGAAATTTGAGAATAAAAATTTCCAGTAGAAAAAGCTGATGCTTTCTAGACATTTCTGATTATGGCCCAATCTTTCCTCTTTTGTCCCCAACAGCTTTATTCTGATCATTACAGCTGAGCTGCAGAGTGCTTTGGTGTGATGAATGATACTGGCCAAGTGACAGCAGTGGGTCATTCTCAACATGTTTGGGCTTATCCCAGTTATTTCCTCAGCTCAATGTGGAAACTTCCACCTGGAGATGGGGCCCTGGCTTAGTTCAGCCACAGGACTACAGAGCAGCCTGGTACCTGGTTTGTGGTGTGTGAACATCATGGTCTAACAGTGCCAGGGTAGGCAGGTGAGAATGACAGCCTGTGAGGAGTTTCGGATGGAGGAGGATGCTCTGTCTGCTGGTGTTGGTGTCAGACAGCCCAGGGAGGGACTCACTTGGGTGAGCATCCCAGTTGGCTCCCAGCTGCAACACCCTCTATCACAACTACAGTAAACTGAACCATGCCTTAGCACTGCCCCTTCCCCTCTTGCAAGGGCAAGGAAAGTCTACAACCCTTCCTGGGCACAAGCATGCTTGCAGAAAGGTGTGGGGGGAAGCCCAGTTTGGTCAGCTTCATCCAGACCTGCCACACAGCTGGCAGTGAGCTGCCACCCTCTCCTGACTCTGCCTTCTGCCTGCCGAAAGCTGCTGATCATTTCTACAGTAATGAGCATGCTGAGCTTTGCTGGGACAGCTGCTGTAATGCAGCAAACACACGTAAATGAGAAGGAATATATCAGCACCTTGAAAGAAACTGGCCCTTAGCTCCTGGATGGGAGCTGAAGCAAGACATGGCAGCTGCAGCTGGTGAACACTGTGTTACTTCAGGCAATGGACTTTCCAGCTGACAGTTGTTCTTGATGTGAACATGAACCTGTGACTTTCAGTCATCTGCCTGCCTGCCAGTGTCTGAGAGATGCAAATCCCAGCATTGTGGATGAGGATAGGTATGGAATAGTTATCTATCATTTGACCTTCAGTTCTAGAATCTTCTTCCACCAGTAAAATTCCAGGAGAATTCCTTAACTCTGCAGCAGTGAGCCTGCCGTGTAGCAGCAATGCTGTGGTCCTCTCCAAGCCCCCTGAGGGAAAAAGTGGTGGTGAGGAGGTACCACTCTGATGAGTAATTCCATCATACCAGGCCCATCACATCATAGAAATGTCTCTCTCTGAGGCATTGGGCCTCTACCTGTGCACATCTCAGTTTCCCCCCTCCATCAGTCAACCCCCTTAGCCCATGGACTGGAAATCATTGTTGCCACACAGCAAAGATTTTAATTCAGTAAAGAAAAAGGTGAGACTGGAGCATGTAACTTCTCATTTGTGAAGTATGAAATCAATTTTCACATCAAACCCTGTATGACTTGGGCTTGTCTTTACCTACAGCTGCACCAGGGCTTCCCACTCACCTTCCAGGATCAGCCAGGACCTGATGCAGATATGTGGGGCAGAGTAAGCTAGACTCATCTGAAGAGGCAGATGAGAATTACAGAAGCTGACAGGTGTAAAGAACAGCTATGGAGATTATCCACATGTCTTGCTGGGTCCAGATCTTGATTTTTATTACTGTCACTAGGGCTGGTTTCAAAGACAATTTCCTATAGCTGTTCATGGTTGTCCAAATAGCATTAATCATGCTGTGTCTAAGGTACAGGTGCATTGTAGCACCAGATTTAATTTTACTGTACCAATAGCCTGTATATTCATACTGAACAAATCAAGAGTTGTTTGTTTGCAGCTGGATCAAAGCTAATGCTCCAATATTAATGATGAACCCAAGTGGTGCCAAGCCGGTGCAATTTCTGGGCTGGAGGAAATGACCATGAAGTAGCCCTACACAAAGGATCTCCATAATTTAAATTCAGTTTTACTATATTATACTCTTTACACTGTATTTTCCCTCTACATCTCTTTATTGCACCATGGTTTTTGGCAAAGTCTTTCCATCTGCTTTGTAAAAACATTTAATAAATTCTTCTGGGTTTTGTTTGATGTTGCAAAAATAATAACAGCAAACCTACATGGCACTGAGTTTTGGGGAGGACAGTGGGTTGTCATGAGTTGTAACTGCAGCAGGCACACAGAGTACTAGTGCTCACTTTTTGACTAAGCACTGAAGTGGATGCAAAGTCAGGGAGCCTGAGGACGGTGTCAGATGTCCTTATAGTGTTTTCAATCTTCTTTAAGTGTTTGAAAGCACTCTTAACTCTAATATGTTTCTACTTGAATCTTTTAACCTATTCCATGGATGGTTTTGTGGCTTATACTGGCTTTTGTTTGTTTGGGGTTGCAGCATTGTGTTTGTTTATTTTGGTGTTTTTTCTTTTATTTTTGTTTGGATTTTTTAACATCTCTTACTTTCCCCCTGAGGAAAAAAGAGACACAAGTAAAACCCAGTACTGTTAATGACAAATTATTTTCGTTCCTGAACTCTTTTATGCTTAATTAGCTTATACATAGGAAAATGAAAATGAAAACCCCATGCCCTACAACTATATGTGTTCATGTATAGCACCAAATATCTTAAAACCCTTAGTTTGTTTCTGAAGAACACCTTCAGAAAAGGTGTGTGAAAATGGCACAAACTTTTTCCTATAATCCTCATACTTAAAAAAGTACAAACACTTTTTTATATAAGTGGGCAGCTTCACTGTCAACCTGCACACACCCATAATATGTCCAGAAACAGGCATCAGAAACCTAAATGCAGTAGAGGAATCCCCCACTCCCTGTTGGTTTCCTGCATACCTCTTTCTGTTCTCTTGTGTTTTCTCCTCTCAGAGCCCATGGAAATAATCTCTCTGGGACTGGAATATTTTTTTCCTCAATTGCCTCTTCTCTCTGAATACAGAATATTCTCTTTCTTATGTCTTCTTCTCTGATGTGTTTTTCAAAATTCTTGTCCCTGGCCTGTGCCAGCCTTGCCCGGACTCTGAGCCAGCCTGACTGAAAGCCATTCTGAGTTTGAGGAGACAGTGGCAATGCCACAGCCGTGCTGGGTGAGGGTTGCTGCCTGAAGCCCTGTCCTGTGTCACTGCCCTGGGTGATGCAGAGCCTGAACAGCTGCTGTGCCCGCATCGTTTGCAAGCACAGCTATGGGCAGCCCTGGCTCCCCTCTCCAGACTAGATTTGGGGGAAAAGGGGAAAAATGAAGGAATTTGATGACAGCACAAGTTTGCTTTTGGATTGAGGTACAGCCTTGGTCCTTTGTCTTTGCAGCAACATGAGCATCTGGAGTTGATGGAAATTGAATCGAGAAGGTGGCCTGGGAACTACTAGTATGGCTTCCATGCTTGGTAGTCAGCAAATCTGCTAAATGAAATAAGCCAAATTCGAGCAACATCCTGTTTCTGTGAGCAAGTGCAACACAGCTATTTTTATTCTCTTTCCACAGAGTGTGATACCAAGTAATTAAATATGACAGGGCATGTCCCACAGCCACAATACAATGAGGGCCATGAGGTTGAGGTCTCACTCAGCAGCAGCAGTGCTGTTTCAGAGAGATCCCAGACTGTCTGCTGTTCCCTTAAAGTGCCTGTGGCAGATCTAGGCTAGCAGAACACCTTGCATTTTTGTAGCACAAAGAGAAAAGGCCTGTATTTTCTTCTTGGTTTTCCGGTTAGGCTTGGACTAACTGGTAACAGGCTTTGACTAACTGGTAAAACAGAGTAATAGCCGTGTTAAAATAAATAGCCACATCTACTGAGGAAGTTGAATCTTTGTTCTTCTCCAGAAGGACAAAGACAGATCTACATACCATTAATTACTGATGCAATGACCCAAGCAAGTTTTCATCAGTCATTTTAAATGTCATTATAGGGGATGGGAACACTTTCAGAAGACCACTTTTGGAGTGTATATTCCAGTCAGCTCCAGGAAGTCATCTGTATGTAATTTGGAAGCAGAAATTGCATTTATTAAGGAGTCTCCACTTCCAACATGTTGCCTAATGTTACGCAGAATTATATGTCACACAGAGCAGATCAAGAGTCATAATAGTTGCACTGGATGAACAGAACGAGTTTCAAAAGGTAGGAAGTCGGTCCTGCAATACATTATTCATGGCTGGCCAAATCAGCTTAAGAAGCTATACATAAGGGAAAAGGGGATAATTTATAGCTTTCTTTACTCTCCAAAAATTCTGACTCGAATGTCGTATTTTCTTTGTGCATTATCTCCTTGCTTAAGCAACCTCTAGAAAGATGTTTCAGGGTATTTGCATTGTATGTTTAAAAGCTTACAATATTTTTGAACAAAAACATTACTATTACTATAAAAACTTTATTAAATTAAGGTATTTTGTTTTGCTGTAACTATCAATTGCTAGTGAGCAGGAAATAACTAGTATTTTTTCTGATGAGGCTGGCATTTTAATTTATTTGCATGGTAAGTCATGCTTAAATGACTTTCTGGCAAGATAGAGAAATGAGGAAAATCCCTAAATGTATCAGTAGTTTTGTGCTGCAGATTACTGCTCCAAGAAGTGCATTCCCTGGACAAGAGGGATAGAATCTATCCATAGCCTTTCTAGACATATAAATCAACAGTATTTTATTATCGCTAAGTCTGCCTCAAAAAACAGGGCACAGACCTTTTTTCAATTACATTAATAAGAGAATCTGAATATTAAAAATGCAAACAGTACTAGACTTTCACATTAACTTTTACAAAAATTTAACCTATAAATCTCTTGCTGACAGATAATCCAGGTAAGGTTTCTCTATCACCTCTCAGGGTGAAAGACCGTGGTTCTCTCTTGAATAGGAGTTTTAAATTATGCAGCCATTTCTCATGTGTGCTGGATAGGTCATGTTGTTTGTGAGTTAACCTGGTCATAGAAAAAACTCTGAAGATCTAACTTTTTCATGCCTCACTTCCACTTCTCATGATGCCATGTGTCTGTGCCTAATTAATAAATTTTTCTTAAATCTGTTTTTACTTTATCTCGATTTCCTCAGATTCTCAGAAGCTGACCATACTCTGAATTTTCTGTAGCCAAGTATGCTTCATTGAAAGATCAGGGAAGTAAAATCAAAGGATTGGGAAGTACATTTTTTTTCACATTGCTCTGACTTTGGGTTGAACTGAGTTGCCCAAATTAAGAGCGTGATAATCACAAACTTCATAAAAGAGCAAGAGAGATACAGCTCCTTTCTTTGTGCTTCTTTGCTAATGTTAGGCCACTGGATTGCTAAAGTTCAATATTTTGTATAATGAAATGCCCAAGCTTTAGTAAGATTATTTCTATTAATGCATGACCTATCTGAGCCTACCTCATTGAATTTAGCAAACATTTTCTCCAAAGTAACTTCAGTGTAACTAAGAGTCTGGCCATCACCTAACTGACTGTGCACTCCAGGTCACATCAATTCAGCTTCATTTCTACTTTGTATACTTTATTCTAATGGAAAAATATAACCTGGTATTTCTTTGCATGTGAACTCTTGACTCAAGTGAAATCATATTCTTCTGAGGTTCTGGATGTTTTTTTATCTTAGCACTTTTATGTCATGGTAAAATCGAAATCCCGTAATTAAATATATGCTATATACATCCTGGACTGTAATTTCATGTTAGTTATCCAGTTGTAACTAAACATTATGTCTTGTTGTTAAAGAGGCAAAGAGATACTTCCTGAAGTGGAAAACAGTGTGTTCTTCCAGATAATGGCAACCTTCTGAAACAAGCTAAACACAGATACTCCATGGGAGGAGGCATTTATGGGCTAGTACCGGGTCAATATTGAATTATATGTTATGTTAGCAATATATTTGCAGTAAAGCAGCAAATTCAACTGTTAAAAGGAGGAGTGTTGTACAGCGCTTTGTCTTTATATATAATTCAAAGATTTGATTTAGCACTCTGCGATGATTGATCCCAGTGGGACTTCTGACATTTCAGTAATATAAACCAACAACTCGGATGTGCTGCCTTTTTTCCCTGCTGTTATTTCTGAAACAGCACTGAGTATGGCAGTGTTTCTGCCAGTAACCATGAGGTGGCACAACGTGCTCAGCAGAACAGCAGCCAAACCTTTCTTTTAATATTCTTTTGTACGTCATATTTCTGGGCTTATTTGGTTTTAATGAGGAAAGACAGGCTGTAAATTAGTTGAGCTTTTAGAAACCCTACTCTATTAGAAAATCAACGACAGAGATACATATTTGTGTGCTTGTATTTTTTGGTGCTTTTCATTCTAATAAATAATAATTTTGAACATTCTGCTACAGGGTGATGTTAAAAATAAAGACCACTGTTCTTTTCCTTTTGTTTTGTTTTGTTTTGTTTGCTTTCAACTACAAAGTCCTGTTTTTAGTGTGCTGCCTTTTCGAAGTCTGATTTCTTTTTTTTCCCTGAATCTCTTTTTCAGTGCTTGCCTGTCCAGGCTTGATTTTTCCTTTCAGATTACTGTGATGTGAAATAGGTTTGATGAGACTAACTAGCCACAAGCCTAATTTCTTCCTAGCTAGGAAGATTAAGTGCCTTTTAAATCAGATACACATCATACATCTGTTAGATAAACCCCTGTTCAGTATTTCCCCAAGCACACAGCTTACCTTAGGTGAAGTCCTAATTCAGATAAGATCTTGATCATAGTGCATGATTTTAATATTTCATAATCAAAAGCACATCAGGACCCATTTATTGAGATCAGCTTTTTGTATTTTCTGGGGTCAGGGGACGTCACTGGCCACACACACAGGGGAGGTCACAACCACAGCACGGCATAGGTGAGCACTACAGCCCAGGAGGAAGACTTAGAGGCCGGTAAATGCAGCCCCAAAGCACAGCAGGAGAGGGGTTCCATGAGGTTTCCCAGGGCTATTCCCCAGGAGGCTGCTGAAGGCTGCAGAACCCAGCAGTGAGACCTGCTGTGACAGCCACAATTTGGGTCTCCTCCAGAGAGAAGAGAGGTTTCTCCAAACCTCCAAATGCTTGGAGGAAAACTTCCTGCAGCAGCCCAGACATATCCTCCTCTAAAATTCCAGAAAAAAAATTATTTGAATTATAAAGTCTTTAGAAACCAAACCATGACTATTAATATATATATATGTGTGTGTGTGTGTGTGTGTGTGTGTGTGTGTGTGTGTAAGAGCGGCATAGAAGGTTACTCATTATCACACAGCTGAAGATCTGGCTGCAGTTTATAAGCCAGGCAGCTTTACCTGCCGAGAGAAAACCCAGAAATTGCAGGGTGGATTATAAACATGAGATCAAGGTTGTTTAAACAAGCTGTTGGCTTGCATTTGCCCCAGCACTTGGGACTCTATGCTCTTGCCACCCGGATTCTGGCTATGCACATAAAGCAGTATGAGAACATACCAGTGACATTTTATGAATAGTATGGGCCAACACAGGAAGCTGATTTCTTTGCTCATGTGTAGCACAGTTCTCATTCCGAGTACATCATGTGCTAGGGGATGCTGTAACCCCTTCTTATATATGATGATCTCCTAATTGGGCAGGTATGCAATGTTGTGGAAAGTGAGAAATTAGATTACTCATGAATCACATGCAGCCAACTTAAAATTCAAGCTTCAGCAAGGCTGCTTGGGACTGACTTACAGGAGTGTTTTGAATGCATGGTTGGATTTGGGTGTGAAGGTGTGAAATAAATAGGAAACTGGGACAGAAAGCTTGAAGGAGTGATATTGGGTCCTAGAGGAATAAGCAAAACAAGGAGAATGTTTCTTGCATTCCTGGGATTATTTATGCATGGCTGCTGCTTAGTGAGACTATCTTCAGAGTCTGCTGCTGGTTTTGAGAGTCAACAGACCATGCAAGGGCAGCTATTCCACAGAGCTGTTACATCCAGGACTGTGTTGTGTGACTGATGAGCAGGTACTCATGAGGAAGCAGGAATTAAATACAGATCTTTAATTTGTTTAAAATCAAAGATAATCATTTAAACTATGACCTCTGAGAAGTGGAAATTATGTCAAGAAACCATCTTTTATCAGCAGATAAATAAACATGGTTTGTCAGTCTCGGGAAAACTGCACAACTTATACGTAGTGGTCAAACAGCAAGCAGTACAGGCTAGACCTGTGTCCTTAGCTGCTGAATAATTATTTAGGGTCCTGAACAGCCTTGTGTCCCCTTACAGTGAAGCAGAGTGCTGCTGGTAATGCTGGGTGATCAGAGCTGACATGCTGGGAGCACACTGCCAGCATGCAATGCAGACATAGCTCTAAGGGGCAAACACTGCAGTAGTAGTCTTGATATAAAATGTCTTATTTATGGGGCCATTTTCACAGATCTGAATTCCCTTATTATCTATAACACATATATTAGTTTGCTCAAGAAGCCTCTGCAAACTAATGAACCTTTCAGGCTGATCCTCAGTTATGGTTGCAGGGATAGTCAGCTCCCTGGGCAGAATTAGGAGATAGACCAATTCTTTAGGGCTGCATTGGTGAGGGCACCCTCCACCTTATGCAACCCTAACCCATCTGGCATGACCTCAGGTTGCAACCCGACCACTCTGCTGTAAAAGTGCTATTGTGGTACGCAACAACATAACCCCATCACTGTGTTGGGCACTAAGAAGGTTTCTGTCAAAATGCCCAGAATAGCAGGCGAGAGATGAAGTGATTTGGGAAAAACCTCCTGCTGATGTTGAAGATTTAACATGGAAGGAACATTTTCCCACCCTGAAATTTTTTGTCTAAAAGCTGCCAGGTTGTAATTTGTTATAATTAAACCAGATGAGGCTGATACTGGAAGGAGGCAAGCCAATTAATTTGGGACTTCAATTTTTGTTTTCCACTGTCAAAGTTTGTTAAAGGACCTTGATAGATTGCTGGGTTGGCCTTTTCAACCTGCTAATCCTCACATGAAAGACAGGCAGGCAGCTGGTGTAGAGAAGCACGTTGCAGTCAGCATTGAGAAAAAGGTAGCATCTGCCAACATGGTGTTTGGAGGTGACAACGGTGTTGCAACCCCTGAGATGTGGGCAACTGGAGAAAGAGGTGAAACTCAAGTTTCAAACATGGAGAAGAGTCTTACAGGCAGCTGTGAACAAAGAAAGCCTGTACTTGAAGTTGACTGCGCTAAAATCTGCCAATTTTTTGGTGTAGAACTACAGGCTTTTTAGTGACCCAAGTATGTGTTCTCAGGTTTTAAATAAGAAAAGTTAGTATTGTCTTGTGCTAACCAGCAACCAGATACCCTAGCTTCAAATTCCAATTAATAATATACAGTAAACACCATTGTCTTAAACAGAGAATGACAGAAAAGGTTGGGACAGACCTCTGGGATCATCGAGTCCAACCTGTGACCAAACACCACCATGTGAACTAGAGTAGGGCATTGAGTGCCACATTCAGCCCTTCCTCAAACACCTCCAGGGATGGTCATTCCACCACCTCCCTGGGCAGCCCACTCCAATGTTATCCCCCTTCTGTAAAGAAATTGTTCTTGATGTCCAACCTAAACCTCTCCTGGTGCAGTTTAAGACTATATCCTCTCATCCTATCACTAGCTGCCTGAAGAAGATGCTGAACCCCATTTGGCTACAAATTCTTTTCAGAGAGTTGTAGAGAGTCATAAGATCACCCCTGAGACTCTTTTTCTTCAACACAAACAACCCCAGCTCTCTCAGATGCTCCTCAAAGACTTGTGCTCCAGACCCTTCACCAGCTTTGTTGCTCTTCTCTGGACAATGTCACCTGCACTACTGAAAGCAGTTATTGGATAAAACCAGGTATCAATTCCCATGGATTTAACTGATAGAGCTCTATTGAAAATTATCTATAATAGGTAATTTCATATATTATAATAATAGAAATAATCTATAATATCATATCTTAACACTAAAAAAACCACCCTTCAGCCAATCCAAGTGGTAAAGTCTTTCATTTTAGAGAATTCCTTCAGATCAAAATTTAATTTCAAAAAGCTTCAAATTTTATGTAAAAAAATCTCTATAGATATGAAGGAGTCAAATCAATAATTCAACAAATTGTAATATATAATCATGGTATGACTGTCACTGCACCAGGCAAAAATCTGTTAATTTCTTGCTACAGTTTTTGTTTCAGATCCTCAAGGCATCAGCCACTCTTTTAAGAAACTGGTTCGGTTTCCTGGCTTAGTCCTTAGGGAACATGTAGTGCCATATTTCTGCAGTTTCATCCCCACTTTTACTGTCAGCTAAAGTACTGTGGCTAATCTGATTCTCTAAAAAACTGAAATTAAACAGAAACTTGGGAAAAGGAAAAAAATTCTAAAAGTTTGAAGGACAGATCTTCAGCTGCCCTAAAGTGTAACAGTATGACTTATTAATGCCACCAGAACAGTTTGTAGCAACTGATAATCTCTTAGGTTTTTCAGATTGTCAGCAAATTCCGTTTTGCAGTACAAACCTAGTAATTTCCTGAAATTGCATGGTTTGGTTAAGCTTAAGAAAACTATCCAAGTTTATTTAGAGAGTCAACATTTATTTCCTACATAGCTGCCTGATCTGGGACTCACCTAACACCTTACTGAAAGTATGTTTTGCAAAAAAAGAGGAACTACTCAAGGCTTCCTACAAAAATGTTCGCCAATATGTCCTACTATATTACAGAACATAGCAATTAACAGTTAAATGTACTTATTATTCTCAATATTTTTTTACCCCAACATGTACAGGTTGATTGATACTATTTTGGGTGTCTCAGTTTAGAAAAGAATGACAGTTTCCTTTGGCATTTCAGTCTGCATTTTGGCTGGTCCCAATGAAGACAAATTTTTCCCAATCAGGATTGTTCTGTTAAGTGAGACAGATGGCACACTCACTGTATTGGCAATGATTCTGAGATTTTAAGTGTATTTGGGATATACTGGCTTGTGTTCCATAGTTAAAAGCGATAGATATTTCAAATGGAAGAGAACTCAAAATTTCTGTGACATGTACACAGTTCTGAAGTACCTACAGAAAGACATGCTTTAGACACATTCAGAAAAATCTGTAGAACATGGGCCAACAGACATGCCTTGGCAGAAAATCAAACATACACTTCCAAACCCCTGCCAGAACTGTGTGTTGAGCCTGAGCCATCAGTGGGGGTGTAGCACTCATTCCTGTTCTACCCACCTGGTCCTGAGGGCAGCAGTGGGTTCAGTTAAGTCTTTCATTTGAGGTATATCCAGCCACAGGAACACTAAAGAAGACGTTTTGTTTTAGTTGCCATTTCTTGTTGACTTTGTCTTAATACTTATGTCATACTCAGTTTCAGGGAAGGTTAACTGGAGTTCAGGTTGTGTTTTTTCCAAAGTT